TTACAGGCCTCTCTCATCTTTTTAAGTGGGAGAACTTGCACAATTGGTGGCTGACTAAATACTTTTTTGCCCCACTGTATGTAGGGCTTTAAGGACTTATAGGTAGGGCATTCCAAAAAAGTGATTCTCAATGTACTTTAGAGCTGGGTGCAAAATTCACTGTTCCATTTTTAGTTATAAAATGCACCTGTCTGGCCATTCAAAGGATGTTTCAATAATTCCCTGGAAGTAACTCTTCCAGAACAGGAAGTGATTCACAATGTTCCAGGGGGTGATCTGGGCCCATTCCAGAAAGATTTGCTTCTAGAAAACTACCAAGCCTCTCCCTGAATGGCTGGATTGGTGTGCATCGGAAAACAACAAGAACACATCATTCTAGGAAACCATGAAACGTTCTATTGTTGGAATGGTGAGCTCTGCACATCCGTATGAAGCCCCTCTTAGCTTTAAAGCAGCTGGATCCTTTGCAAGACACACATAGCTGCTTAAAAGGCTGTACCCAGGGGTTGTGCACGATTGTGCATGCACAGCCAATCTTCTTTACTACCAGTCCTGGGAACAGCCTTTGGAGGAGTTTCACAAGCCTTCTAGGAAATCAACAAATACCCTTTTCATAGAAGTCCTTCTGAATGCTTTGCATATGGCTCAATCAATGCCCAGCTTTCAGTGAAAGCCCAAAACATTTTAATATATGAAAGCACAAGTATAAATTCATATTACATTATTGCTAGACATTATAATATGATTACTCTGTTTATATCAATATATTTTACCCTCTTTTACTGTTGCATATTGTACTAAGAAAAATAGCACTACATGGATATGAATGCCAGAGCCAATTCAACTAGGCAATTAAATAAAAAGCTTAAGCAGAAAATTCAATACCTTATATCGTTCTTTCCAGCGACTTCTTGAAAGTAAACTATCAAGGCGAACTTGAATAAAGCGGTCATCCAAATAATGGAGGGAGGTCAGCATATTCTGCGCATATCTCTTTTGTCTTTTCCCCTCTTTGGAGAGAAAACAAATCACCGTAACAGGCTTGGTTATTCTTACATAACAATTTAAAAAGAGTAATGCATTTATTTACTGCCCTGAGAAAAACTTGGAAAGAGGTAACAAATAGCCTCTTCAGAAGAGGTCTTTGCTTACCATATAAGGAGATCAGAAAGGTATCATCAATTGCATTGATGAGAAAGGCTTTTACAACTCTTTGAAAGTGTACATAATGATCGACACGAGTCACTGTTAAAAAAACCATCAAAATATGTGTCATTAGAGACCTTATGAATAGATGACTAGATGCTAATAAATGCTATAAGTGGGATATTTATAGCTACTTCTCGGTTATTGTGACCTTACAGCATGGAACGTGTTTCTCCAAAGAGATACTGGACACAGGATGTTTTTTGTCTTGGGGCTGGTGGTCTTTCTCCTCAAAGTTCTCCTGTTTCAACTTCTCTTCTACTTCTTCTTCTTCATCATCATCTATGAAATCTTTCATGCTGTTACTGTCAGACACATCACTGATTTCATCTTGTGTGAGGGGTGAGGGACAATCAAGTATCAAGACGTCATCTGCACCATCCTAGTGATATTAAAAAAAAGCACAGTATTATTAGAATACAGTGGTACCTCGGGTTACGAACTTAATTCGTTCCGTGACTCTGGTCGCAGCCTGAATTGGTTGCAACCCGAAGAAAATTTCCCCATAAGGTTCAATGTAATTACCGTTAATCCGTTCGGGCGAGGAAGACAGGGAGGTGGCTATTGCTGGGAGGGAGAGTCCCCCTCCCTACAACCACGTGTCAGGGGCGGAAAATGGCCGCGGACCACTGTCAGGGGCGGAAAAATGGCCGCGGACCGTGTCACGGGAGGGAAAACGGCCGCGTATCCTGTTCGTACCCCGAGGCGGAGTTCGCAAACCGAGGCAAAATTTTGTGGCTGGGGGTGGGCGGAACCCGAAAAGTTTGTTAACAGAAGCGGTAGTAAACGAGGTTCCACTGTATTTTAGTTGAATTCATTGGTGTTTACCAAAGCACACCCTACATATATTTTTTAAAAAGTAATATTACCATATATATTAAAATACAGCACCAATATGATTTATTGTAGGCCACCTGCAAAGTTTGAGTTGGGTGGCCATATAAATAAATAAGTAGCAT